CGCCCGCCCGCCGCGATCGGCCCCACGAGCTGCTGTGCGTCAAGCGCGCGAAGGCCTTTGTGCGAAGGTGCCTCGTGGCAAAAGCAGAGCTGGGCTCAAGCTGCACCAGGGGAGGTTTAGGTTGGATATTAGGAAAAATTTCTTCACGGAAAGGGTGGTCAAGCATTGGAACAGGCTGCCCAGAGAGGTGGTGGAGTCCCCATCCCTGGAAGTGTTCAAAAAACGGGCAGAGGTGGCACTTGGGGACATGGTTCAGCCTGGTCTGCCCTTGACTGGTTTGGTGTGGGCTTGGTAGTGTAGGTTAATGGTTGGACTGGGTGATCTTAAAGGTCTTTTCCAACCTCAACGATTCTATGATTCTATGATTCTGTGGTGTCTTTTGTGCCATTACGGGTACATCCACACATTTCAATTTCTTCGGCTTTCTGCTAGGAGGGAACTAACAAAATATGTTGGCTCACTTGCAGCACACTCGAGCGTACGGGGGAGTTTGGGTTGGTTTGCTCTTTCCCCATGCCTCGGTGGCAGAACTGCTCTGGTTTTCTCGTTTTTTCCATTGTCTCAGGTTCTCATCTATTTTGATATTTCCACTTTTTTCTCTCCTTCCTCCTGCTTTATGACACATCCAACCCCTCACCAGAAGACTATGCTGTTGAGTTTTAGCAGCACGCTATTGAGGAACTTCTTGTTCTGGGGTCTGGCTGTATTTCCAGCTGGGGGGAAAAAAGCTGTAATAATCAGAAAACCTTAGGATGGCTCATCAGTGGTGCGTAGGATTCTGGATATGAGAAGATTGCTGGCAGGGCTTGCTGTTTTGGCAGTCACCCTTGATGTTGTCTCCTTATCGATCTTCCCGTCGTTTCTCTCGGGTGCATTGCTAATGGGCTTTGTTTGTTTATCGGTACCCTGAAACCGGTCGCTGCAGTTTTGAGAGACACCCACCACACCGGGACCTCATAAAGCACCAGGAGACCACCACCACCCCTTCCCCAGCGCTGCTTTGCCTAACTGAAAGCGTACGGGTTGGGAAACACGGCTGGCTATTTGCAAATCCAGTGTTCACGTTTTCATTGCTCTCATAGACACGTTACTCTTCCAGAGGAAAAGAAGAAAAAAGTAGCAAGGGAAGAAATACATTTTTGTTTGCAGGTGCTTTCTGTTTGCTTGCTTTGCTCTTCAGTATCCTGCAAGCATGAGCTGCCATTGAAAATCAAATGAATTCTCAATTGCTTCCTTCCAATTCAATAAGTGGAGGAAAGCAGAAACCTGCCACCGTTGCTGGAAGGAAATGGGGCAGAGGAAGGCGCAGGTTTGGCAGAAAGCTGTTTCTTTTCCTTCTTTCCCCAGGGAAGGTCCCTGGGGAGACAGGACTGCACCTTGGGGGACGTGGAGGAGGAGCCTCAGCTCCCTCCACCCTGGAGGCGCAAGGATGCGTCATCTACCATGGACTTGGGTGGTTTTCTTGCTCCCTGACATTTCCCACTTTTGCTCGGCATTTTCCTCTCACCGATCTGTTACGAATTTTTTTACAGGTGTAAGCAACCTTGTGTCGTCATTGCATTTCTAGAGGTGACGAGGACGCACTTTTGTTATTGCTGTTACAAATCCTTTCACCTTTATCAGAGCAGAAAAAAGACGGACTCCGACTCCAGATTGAATGCTTTTGAGATGATATATTTTTCTGCTAGTGTAGGGAGTGTGAATATTCATTTTTATAACTTTTATCATTATAATTTTACGATTCTCTCTTGCAACAGGGCAGAGTCCTCGGCCGCATGCGAGGTGTGCGAAGGCGCGGAGGAGATGACGGAGCCGCTGAAGCAGTGCACGGCCTGGCTGCACGCCTACTTCTGCGAGCCGGCGAGGATGGCGAGCCTTCCCGTGCCGGCCTTCCACCACCCGCTGCTCCGGCGAGGTCTGTGCCACGGGGCGCCCGTCCCCTCCCCGCTCCCATCAGCCAGGGTGGTGCTGGCTCCCATCACCCTAATTCTTGGTCAATGGCAATAAAAATGATGCGGTTCCGCTCCAGACAGTTGCTGGCTGAAAGGTTTGGGGATGAACACATCTGAAGGGCAGCAAGCTTTTCAGTAAGGTCGTCGTTCACTTAAACTAGCTTTTTGCCAGCAACCGCGGGGCTGAGGCTTAGACATGTCCATGTCAATAGACATGGGCCATAGAAGCAGTCGGTGATAGGTTGCGTAAGGAAGCTATGTTTTTATTCCTCAAAGTTATTATAGATAATATTTTGATTTTCTTAAACAAAGAACAAGTATTATTACAAAGTAGTTATGGTACTTGTGTATTTAGATAAAAACAAGACCTAAGAAAAGTTTCTCCTTACCATTCTCCACTTACCAGCTGTGTTCCTCAAGACCTCATAACAGAAGTCAATCACTTGAAATTAAATGGATCTCATTATTTAAAAAAAAACCCCAAACCTCAGAAGTCTGCTTTTTGCAGTGCCTTCTGGTCTGTCCATGAGCGTCATCATTTCCCAGTGAATACAATCTTCAGTTTAATAGATCTATTTTCGAATTGATATGATATTCTGTAATAATACAGCACCAAAAAGGGGCTAGTATCCTCTACCTTACATGAGGGAAGATAGCACTGGTTTTTGTATAAACTCTAAAATATATATACAGTTTTTTGTGGTTGAAAGGTGATAGACCCCTTTTAAATACGGGTGTGTACTTTTTTATTTCAAGGCATAAGGACTATACGTCAGTAGCTGTGTAAAACAACGGCCGGTTTTACCCGTGGGAAGGAAGGGCTGTTTCGACAGGCACGCCTTTGCAAGTAGTATCTACAAGAACTCAGCTGTCTCTACTGCTAATTGCTAGTTTTACTCAAATTCCTATAAATAGTAGGTTTCTTCTTGTCGTTACACTTTCTTATTCTTAATTAGCTAATGGCAGCTGCAAGTAGAAAAACAAAATCAAAATGCAATTGTTGCGCAGAGCCTTCTGCAGATAATCAGGGTGTTGCTTTCGGGAGGTGGGAGTCTTAAATTGTGTGAGCTTTGCGCGGTACCTTTGTTTTAGTGATGAACTCCTGTACTTACTCTTCCATGTTATGCAAATTCTCAGTGCGGCATCTTTCATAGTCAAATTACAGGGTGGGTACTGAGTATTTTTTAAACTAAGTTGCGTATTGCACTGTCTCCCTCTATTTTTTATACAAACATCATTTTTATCAACTACTAAAAAATTTCGTTTAGAAGTTTTAGTGAAACCAACCGATTAGCATGTGGGAGAATAAGCACTAGGGACACTGTGATGTCAAAATTGCCAAAATGCTCGTGACGTATGGCCTTCTAGGTGATTAAATTATCATTTGAGGACTCTTTTATTAGGTGGGATGAAATTAAGACCTGTGTTGTGAAAACATTAGGGCTGGGGTGAACATGAATGGGCAAAGCTGGATGGGAAATAGTTACTGCTGGTGTTCCTTCCATCTCTGAGTAACATCAGGGGAATTCTGCTTCCCAGATTATCCACCAGAAGGTTATTAAACACTTAAAGTAATGCTTTTACTTTTCTTAATTTTCCAAAGTTGGCTACTGAGTTCTTTTGAGCTTGGCTAATGAAATTTTTTTGTCCAAGCGCTGCTGATGGTGGTTTAGGTGTTGTTTTGGGGTTTAACCCTGAGCAGCCTTGCCTTGACTTACGGTCAGAGTTGGTAGGGGACCTTGGTCCTTCCCTAGGCAGCAGCCTTCCTGTGCAGGCAATGCTGGAAGACACCGAAGATCATTTAAAAGAGGAAAAATAAGTATATTTGTTAATAGGAAGCTCCTCAAGGGAAAGCGGTCATCACCCTCTCATTTTTCTGGGAGGTGGAAGGAAAGCTCTTCAGCACCGTCCAAGTGCAAAGCCCAGCTGAGAGGGGATGGGCCGGGACGTGGCCGGTGGCTGTGGGCATCGCTGCCGGGTCTCCCTGTGGCCCCTGTGGCTTTGTGAAGGATGTGGCTGGTGGTCCCGCTGGCCGCACGCTGGGCAGCACTGGTCCTGATGGCGCTTGGCCTCCTGTGCCGCAGGTTCGGTGCTGGGGGGGACTGGAGTGCGGTTTTCTCGTTACAACATGTGCAGGTCCAGGTTGTTTTAATTTAGTTCAGTTATTTGTTCTTGGCCTGCCACCAGGTGTGCGTGTTTTATGGGGGGAGGCACGTACGTAATGGAAATGCTAATGAAGAATTAATTGGCACAAATCACCATGTTTTGATAGCATTTCTATTCTTCTCTTACTTTCTCCCAGTAATATATTCATAAACTAGGAAAAATTTATATTAGAAAAAATGTAGAAATACATGTCAGAAATTTGAAGCAACTATTTTTAAAAGTTATTTAGTAGAAAGGCAAGGCAAAAACCGCATTATAATGGATTACATTGTACATTTCAATTTATCTGTAAGTCAGAAATGCAGTAATGCTAAATTAGGAATTTGGTATTTATTTACTTTTTCACATTTACATTTGAAAGTGCCTACTCATTTCTCCAGGCACTTAAAAATGCAGAATAAACATAAGCGAGAGCATGAGGATCCAAAGCTGGGGAGGCTTTTTCTTATCACACTGGTTTCCTTATGTGTCTCTGTTCATCAGCAGCTCTTCCAATGAATTGTCAAAACCTTTGGCCCTTCTTGTCTCCCCCTCCCTGTAAATATGACCACTTACAGTGGGGTTCTTTGGAATTAGGTGACTTGAGTTGCATCATCAAGCGCTTTTGCGATAAGGACTGATTATTGGATATTTTCTTTCTTAATCAGTTCTTATATGATTTTTTTTTTAATTTTGTTTCTGTGCTGGCATCATCTGAGGACAGGAAGGGTTTTGCTTATCTTATCTCAAACACATTAAGGAGGTTCCTCATTTAACAAAAACGTGTAAAATGCTTTCAGGATGAAGCACTTCTCAATTGACGGCCAATTTTCTGCAGCTACTTTTGTGCCAACTATGAAGACGTAGCTCCTCGTGGACAGAGAAGTAGCGACAACCAACTTTGAGATAACAAAAGCAGAGAGATTTGCAAATTCCGGAGGTAAAGGCAGGCTCTTGCAGGCTGCAGAAAGCCGTCTCTCCACGGGGTTATCCCAGCGCCCGAGGCAGCGAGCACCTGTAGCTGCTCTGGGTGCTGGGGCGGGTGGGAAGTGCGCGCCCCAGCCACCTCCTGGCCTCCAGCGCTGCAGGGACGGACGCAGGAGCACAGTTGGTGACCACCTGAAAAACATTTAGCTGTTTGCTTTACTTTTCCAGGCTCTTAGGGAGGGGAGACACCAGTCCCCCTTCGAGCACCGAGCACCTTCCAGCAACCCCTGTGCTGACGGTGAAAATATAATAATAACCGTTGCATTATGCTGTCATAATTTGGTTGCCAAGTGTGCATGCGTTACCAAGGCAAAGGCAAGCTGAATTCTGACATTTACTGTGTCAGCGGCTCATCTTCTGTCTTAAATTTTTCTGAAGTGCCTTTAATTTTCTAAATTACTATTAAAAGGGGGAAACGTGTTTAAAAGCACTCTCAATACAGAATGAACCGTTCCTCCTCGTAACTCGTCGTTGGCAAAGTTTGAATCTGAAGCGCTGGTGCTGTAGCAGAGCTTGAGGCAGGCAGGAGAAGTTTGAAGCTGGTTTCCCAGCACCTCCAGGAGTTGTCAGCTTAACTGGCTGTCCAGTTTAGCCTATGCAGCCAAAACTTTGTTGAAAATGTAATTGAAAAACTGGAATCTTCAACAATTTGTGTTATGGCCAGTGCTCAACATGGAATTTCATTGGGCAAAGAAAAAGTAGGTTTTCCCCACTTCTCTGCAGCATGACTTCAAGGTGTTATGACTCAGAAAAAAATCACTGAACATTTATAATGGGAAGTGATTAATTGGTCTTAATGTATCGTGGTCATTAGCCCCCTTTATGTATGAAGAAGAAAAATTGACCCCGTTATTGTTTTCAAGCCTATGCATGAGTTGCTTGATTTGTGGGTCTGTGAAATGGAAAAGGCAATGTTAAATTGGCCAGTCATGAATTTCCTGACTTTTCTTTATTCTTGTTTTATAACCGTAGTGGTTGCGGTTGCAGAAAGCATTGCAGCACTGGACGCTGCAGTGAGGAACAGTTGTGTGTTTGCAGACCAGATGGCTCATTAGAGCAACAAGAGCAGAGGAAATTGGAGACACACAAGAGTTTTCCTTTGCCCTGTGACAAGCAGCAGCCCTGGGGCTCTGCTCTTTGCGTGCCATGCCATGCCATGCCGCCGTCCTCACCGGATGAAGTCCTTTAGCTTTGCAAAACCAAGCTTTTATATTCTTGAGTCTGGAGTTCCTCAGTCGGTTCCCTGTACCGGAGGTGTAGACCCGAAGCGAAGCTGTGCCTTTCAGCTCAGTCCAGCTCAGTCACCCTGTTTCTTCAAATAAGCTGTGAATTACCGTGTCGGTGCGAGGGCGGAGGGCTCTGCAGGTCTGCAAGTGGCGTCGTCTGCGCCGCCTTGCAAGCCAAAGGCAGAGGAAAGCTGTGCAAAAAGGTGGAGGAGGAACAACCTGAGGGTGGAGACCGGAGAGGTGAGCTTTGCAAGACAGATTAGTCGCTGAAATTTCCCGTGCATTATGCATGTTATTCATCCAAGAAGGGATATTGATGAAACACCTCATACATAATGGGAGCAGAGAGTCTTCAAAGGAACTGGTAGCACCTCCATTCTCCCTTCAAGGTGACTTCGCTCCATACCCAGGCCTGTAATCAATAATTACCCTGTGATTTCCTGGGAGCCTTCTCGTTCAGAAACTCGAACCAATGCGGCATAGGCTGGCGAGCCTGGCGTGGCCCCCGCCACAGGACAGCAAAGCACACTGGAAAACACCGCTGCAGAAACTACTCACCTTCCCGGGTCACCTCGGCGGAGTCGGGCTCGTCCTTTGTTCCGTGC